CAAAAGTCTGTTCTGTACATCTGTGTCTCTTTTTCTGTTTTGCATATAGGGTTATCGTTACCATCTTTCTAAATTCCATATATATGCATCACCATTTTTTTAAACTTGAATCTCTCAGGAGGAACTAGTCAGACACAAATTAAAAGACATTTTGTAAAAACAGTTGAACTGAGTTCAGCACAAAATAGGCACTCCAGCAATGTGCTTAGAGCTGGATGGACAGACATGAGTGTCTGGCTAGTGAGAAAGACAGATGAATGGATATATCAATGAATGCAGATCAATGACTGGCTGGCTGGATAATAAACTAATAGATGGATGGATGTGTGGGTGGATGGATAGATGATTAGAGAGTAACTGGGTGATGGAACGAACAGTTTGATGGATGGATGGATGGATCCTCTACACAAAGTTACTCAGACAGTAACCCAAGGCAGATTTTGAACAGGATTTACCAGAAGAAAGAGGAAAAAAGAGGGAAAGAAGGAAAACAGGAAAATAGACACATGTGATATTTCTTGTATTTCTTGAAGAGTTATTTTTTCAAATGGATTGAGGAAAATACTCATTTTCATACCTTAGGAGTTAGAAGTGGTATAGATTTTTGCCAGGCTTCACTAATGGTTTATTAATTTCAAATAGGTGGAGTTCATAAACAACATTCAAGTAGCATTCCAACACCATAGATCTCACTGTAATCACTTGAAACTATTTTGCCATTGTACATGCTACTGTCAAAGATCAAAATGTGCCATTACAGGCCCAATGCTGGGAATGAAAGTTGGCGGGTTGTATTCCCAGAGACCTAGGTAAGGACAAGCTGCTGTGTGTTTACTTCCTCAGGGTGAAGCTACTCCATTGTCCATTCCAAGCATCAGCAATCAACAATCAGTGCCACTTTGGGTGGGCGTATGATTTCCTGTGATGAGAAGGTCCTCCAGCCAGGTGAAATCACCTACCAGAGGACTAGAATTCTTTGACCCCTCCTCCTGTAGACATGGGTGTCCTATCACTTTCCACATTGTCCAAAAAGCAAAGGCAACTGACATTCTATAACCATTGAACACATCATGTCCATTCATAGTACCTAACACTCATTCAATACCTATGTTTTGAGTGCCTATTATACATTGGAAGAGACACAGTTCTTGTCCTAAAGTGAACAGAAAGGGCTCAATAAAAAAGAAAAACTCCCTTCTCTCCCTTTTTATGTATTTTAAAAAACAAAAGTGATGGTTCAGTAGGAATGATACTCTAGTGACAAATTTATGTTTATAAATTATCATCAAAAATGCCTATGCTGTGCTGTGCTTAGTCACTCAGTCATGTCCAATTCTTTGCGACCCCATAGACTGTAGACTGCTAGTCTCCACTGTCCATGGGGATTTTCCAGGCAAGAATACTGGAAGGGATTGCCATGCCCTCCTGCAGGAGATCTTCCCAAACCAGGGATTGAACCTGGGTCTCCCGCATTGCAGGCAGATTCTTTACCATCTGAGCCACCAGGAAAGCCCTAGGTCATGCAGTTTCTCCCTAAATCACTCCTCATCAGGCTTGGAGTGAGTAGTACTTCTTCACAATAATAAATAGGTTTTTAGCATTCAGTTTTTACCCTCAAATTTGTGTATGTAAGTATGAATCTCATATTACAAAAATCTTAATGGATGGAGCATTCTGAAATAGGTGGCAATGCAATCAATGGTAGTCTTAGAAGTAATGACTGCTAATGTTCATTTGCCAGTTTCTTCAATTAAAAGTTTTTTATGGAATTAGAAGAAAAATTGCAGAGGGCAGGACACTTGTAGATCATGGCAAGAAACTTGCCCTCTCTAAGTCACAAAGGGAAAATGATCCACCAGGCATCAAAAGGAATGGGGAAGAACGAAAAAGGAAGAAGTAGATGCATGAGGACAAGTTTCTCTTCTTTAGAAGAAGGATTTCTTCATCAAAAAGATTCTGAGCGAAATCGCTGTGGAAATGTATCAAAATGAAAGCTGTGTTCATGGCAAATTATGCACATATTATTCTTTTGTGACTTTAGATCCAGTTGTTCAGAGTCTTGACATTGTGGCCTTTACAAACTGCAGAATCAGTAACTTGCTGGCTGACAGACATGATAAGAAGCTCAAAGGTTATCTAACAGTAATACGGCCCTTTGTCACATTTCGCAGTATGTCCTGTAATAAACTGATTCACTGCCTGTGCATTGCTCTAAGTATAATAAAACTTATCTTTCTGGATCATTCCTATTTGATGTTCTGCTAAAAACATGAATTCTTTTTCCTGAAAAATAAAATTGAGTGTTAGTGACTTCCGCTCTTCCTGCATTGTCAGGTGGTTCAGGAAGAGTATTTAAAAATAAAAGAAAGCAACCTGTGACTAAAACACCTGAAAGTAGCTCTTAGGAGCCTTACAGCGGCTATTTGTCATAAATCCAGACAGAAAATGGGCAAAAGACATAACAAAAAAAGTACAGGCATACCTCAGAGATGGAGCAGGCTTCATTAGACTGCAATAAAGGGAGCCACATGACGTTTTTGGTTTCCCAGGGCATTTAAAAGCTATGTTTACATTATACTGTAGACTATGAACTGTGCAATAGCATTATGTCTTAAAGAATCACATTACATACCTTAATTTAAAAATATTTTGGAGATAAAAAATGCTAACCATCATCTGACCCTTCAGCGAATAATAACCTTTCTATTAGAAAAGGGTCTTACCTTAATGTCGATGGCTGCTGACTGAACAGGGTGGTAGTTGCTGAAGGCTGGGTGGCTGTGGCAAATTCTGAAAATAAGACAGCAAAGTTTTCCACATTGATTGACTCTTCCTTTCATGAAGCATTTGTCTGTAACATGCAATGCTGTTTGGTACGATTTTACCCACAGTAGAACTACTTTCAAAACTGGAGTCAATCCTTTCAAACCCTGTCGCTGCTTTGTCAAAGTTTATGCAATATTTTAAATCCCTGGTTGACATTTCATCATCTTCACAGCAATTTCACCAAGAGTAGATTCCATCCCAAGAAACCACTTTTTTTGGCTCATCCATAAGAAGCAAGTTCTTATTCTGTTAAAGTTTTGTCACAGGATTGCAACAATTCAGTCACATTCTTAGGCTCCACTTTTAATTCTAGTTCTCTTGCTTTATCTACCACATCTGCAACTGTTTCCTCCACTTAATTCTCGAACCACTCCCAAGTTATCCCTGATGATTGGAATCAACTTCTTCCAAACCCTTGTGAATGTTGATATTTGGACTTCTTCCCATGAATCATAAATGTTCTAAATGGAATCTAGAATGGTGACTCCTTCACAAAAGGTTTTGACTGACTATGCCCAGATCCACCAGAGCAATCACTATGGCAGCTATAGCCTGATGAAGTGTATTTCTTAAATAATGTGACTTGAAAGTCTAAATTACTCCTTGGTCCATGGGCTGCAGAATGGATGCTGTGTTAACAGCCATAAGAACAACATTAATCTTGTCTCCATCAGAGCTCTTGGGTGACCAGGTGCATTGTCAATGGGCAGTAATACTTTGAAAGGAATCTTTTTCTGAGCAGTAGGCCTCAAGAGTGGGCTTAAAAATATTCAGTGAACCATGTTGTAAAAAGATGTGCTATTATCCAGGCTTTGTTTTAAGGGCCTTGGAATTTTCAGAATGATAAATGAGCATTGGCTTCAACTTTGAGTCACCAGCTAATTAGCCACTAACAAGAAAGTCAGTCTGTGCTCTGAAACTTTGAAGGCAGGGACTGACTGCTCCTCTCTAGCTATGGAAGTCCTGGGTGGCATATTCTTCCAATAACAGGCTGTTGGATCTACAATGAAAATCTGTTGTTTAGCGTAGCCACCATCATTAATTATAGTTGTCATTATTTTGTAAACAAGAGCTTTTCTCTCTTTTCTCTGCCTTCCTCCACCATGTTCTTTGAAGCACTTTGAAAATGAACCCTCATGTAGGACTGACAGACCTTGGTCATCACTGGGGCATCTTCACCACTTCCTCACCCACTGGAGACTCACTAAGGTTCTAAGGGACTTTCATAGTGGTCACCACAGCAGTGTTCACCATCCCAGCCACGTGATCCACTCAGGTCTGCCTCTTTGGAGTTCCCACAGATTTCTAGGACAAGAGAATCTTTGACAGGCCTGGAAGCCTCATGCCTAACATTGTGCCTCCATGATGCCCCAACAACCTATGATGGTCCTCAGAGAAACTCTTCTGCCCTCTGGTTTCCTAGAGATACTCACGTCTCTCTTCTCCACCTTCCTCTGTGATATCAAGCACAATTGACTCAATGTCTGGGCCTTTCACAAAAGACAGGAAGAATCTTTGAATTCAAGGCTATATTTTTCCACACCCCAGGGGAATATTAAGGGACTCGTTACCACTTGGGTTGAGATATCAGGGTTTTCAAAGGGTCTGAGAATGAGTAACTTAAAAATTTATCCTGTTAAATTGAATTTTTTTAAATAACCTGGGATTATAGCTATGAATTGTAATGTAATTAGTAAAATGCGTTCTGAGTTCCAAAAACCTAACTTACAAATGAATGCAACTATTTTGTAATGAGTAGAGGTAAGGAATGATACTTGCAGTTTAGAAAGATTACATCCTTCTACAAAGTAATGTGACTTTGCTTCTTTATATCTCATTTCAATCTGATTATACATTTCCCTTGCATTCTTCATGCAATTTGTGTGTGTGAATGTTCATATGAATATATGTGTGTATACAAACATACTCATTTATATAAACATATATATTCTTTCATATATATATAATCCATGCAGACTTCTGATATTGATACCATCTTTTCACCTCATCAACTTTTTGTGATCCTTGAAATTTATTTGAAAATACACAATGTTACCCATTTTTCCAATCATTCTAAGGTTCCTCTTCCCTTTCCTGATCTCCATGTTGGAACAGAAGACCATGCTTTCTCTTCCTAGATCTAGATCCCAATCATTCTTTTTATGTGCATTTAGGAAGAACAAAGGACCATCTGAAATGGAAGACACTGAAGATAAGTGTGAAAACGTGATCACAATTGAAAATGGCATCCCCTGTGATCCCCTGGACATGAAAGGAGGGCACATTAACGATGCTTTTGTGACAGAAGATGAGCGGCTCACCCCTCTCTGAAGGGCTACTGTTTACTCCCCACCTGAAACTCAACACTTGTGTCTGTGCAACTGCTGAACATCACAATTTATCGAGTCAAGACTATGTATTTTGTTTTCATCACTCTTCTTTTGTAAGAATTTTGAATGTGCGTGAAATGAAAAGGCAATGACTTATACCCATGAAGACAATTGGAATCATAAGCTGCTGACTATTCAAAATATTCTAAAATATTTCCCTGACAATACAGTGTATAAGTATAGTCATCTGGCATTTGCAGTTATTGATTTTAAAAATATATTAGTATTTAAGCATTTCTAGTCATAAGGTCAGGCCAGCATATATACATACATATATATATATCTCACACTTTTGAAGACCTAAGGAAAAAATAATTTTACAATGGAGAATGCCTATAATATGGTGTCTAAATCATTGAAAGTGGATCCTTTTAAATATCATATCACTCTGTATATGATTAGATAAGGAAGAATAAAAATTACTGTAAATTGGATGGATAAAAATGGGAGTGTTGAAATACAAGGTGGAACTTGATCCTGTTATACCAACAATTGCTTATATATTTTTTCTATCAGTCTCTAATAGGGCAGCTCTGCAGTTTGTAAAAGTACAGTCTGGTCTGTGCTAACTTAATAAAGTACTAATCATCTCTTTTTGATTAACTGACTGTGGTCTGCAATTTCTTTTCACACTGTGGAACACAGTAAGCCTAATTTTTATGTTATGTTTAATCTGCTCTCCTGTCCTAGAAATGAATTACCTTTGTTGTGTGTATCCCTGCTTGAAGATTGTAGTCTTTAGACTTGATTTTACCCTTAGAATGAGAGAAAATAATAGCAAATGAAACAACTGACAAAGGATTAATCTCCAAAATATACAAGCAGCTCATACAACTTAATACCAGAAAAACAAACAACCCAATCAAAAAGTGGGCAGAAGACCTAAACAAACATTTCTCCAAAGAAGACATACAGATGGCTAATAAACACATGAAAAGATGCTCAGTATCACTCATTATTAGAGAAATGCAAATCAAAACTACAATGAGGTATCACCTCACACTGGTCAGAATGGCTATCATCAAAAAATCTATGAACAATAAATGCTGGAGAGGGTGTAGAGAAAAGGGAACCCTCTTGCACTGTTGATGGGAATGTAAACTGATAAAGCCACTATGGAGAACACTATGGAGATTCCTTAAAAAACTAGGAACAAAACTACCATACAACCCAGGAATCCCACTACTGGGCTTATACCCTGAGAAAACCAGAATTGAAAAAGACACATGTACCCCAATGTTCACTGCAGCACTGTTTACAATAGTTAGGACATGGAAGCAACCTACATGTCCATGGGCAGAGGAATGGATAAAAATATTGTGGTACATATATACAATGGAATATTACTCCGCCATTAAAAGGAGCACATTTGAGTCAGTTCTAATAAGGTAGATGAACCTAGAGCCTATTATACAAAGTGAAGTAACTCAAAGAGAAAAACAAATATATATTAATGCATATATATGGAATCTAGAAAGATGGTACTGATGAACCTATTTGCAGGCAGCAATGAAGATGCAGACATAGAGAACAGACTTGTGGACACAGTAGGGGGAAGGAGAGGTTGGGATGAATTGAAAGAGTAACATTGAAACATTTATATTACCATATGTAAAATAGATAGCCAGTGGGAATGTGCTGTATGATGCAGGGAGCTCAAACCTGGTGCTCTGTGACAACCTAGAGGGTGGGATGGGGTGGGAAGTGGGAAGGAGGTTCTACAGGGAGGGGACATATGTATACCTGTGGCTGATTTATGTTGATGTATGGCAGAAACTAACACAGTGTTGTAAAGCAATTATCCTCCAATTAAAAGAATCATATTAATGGACTTGATTTTACTTCCAGATAGGTATCGTTCTAAATTCTAATAATAATTATTATACATATATTGATAGAAAATTTGCAGCTCAGTCTCCCACTGCCATCACCAACAGTTGGTGTTATAGCAGTAGTCTCTAACTTGCTTCCCATATCCATTTTTTATTTTGAAGGCATGGGATGGACCAATTTGATCACTAGATCATTTTCTTCACTGTTTATCGTGAAGCTGAGGGGATTTCTTCCACTTGCAAAGGTCTGTTCCACTAAATATCCTTGCTGAGGAAGTTTTCTTTGCTAGCAGAAATGCGCTGTAAAATTGACCATCAGTATAACAGCAAAATAGAGCTTATGTCTCCTGCAGTGGCTTTGACAAACATTGCGGGTAATTAGAGAGCAGTCAATCATCAACCATACCTTTCATTTTAAAAATAATGATCCTGTAATGTCCGACAAAGGAACACATTGTGAGGTGATATGTAGTGGAAATAAAATGTTGTAAATTGAGTGGAAATATGGCTGTCACTCTCGTCTCCCAGTCCTTAGCGAAAACTATGGTGAAACTGGAAAGACAGAAGCATGTGAAAACCAAGTCACTACAGAAAAAATGAACTGAGATGGTGATATTTGGATTTGTTTCACAGAAGAAATGTAAATGCAGGTAAGTTTTGGTTTTTTGGGTGTAATTTCATCTACCACATTTTCCAGAAGGACTAACCAATACAAAACATCGCTATATAAAAGAATGCAGTGAACTCTTGCATCTAGAATGATACATGATCAGATACTAATATCATCAAGTGAAGTATACACATTTTTCGTCCCTGGATAAGGAACAAGGAATAGGAGAGAACACAAGTGAAGAACCAAAAAGAGTGTAAAATCCCTCAAACTCCAGATTCCCAGTCCTTATTGCAAAAGTCATGGGGCCCCTTAACTTAGTATTTTATTTCCCATCTTACATCTTGTTTTTTATTTATTTTTAATTAATTAATTTTGCGTCTTGTTTTCTTTCAGTTACATAAGCAGATGCATGGAAGTTTTCTTTCATTCTTTCCTACTAACCTTCCTTTGACCCTTCCTCCATTCGTCCCTCCATCCCTCTCTCCCTGCCTAAAGAATTTATTGAATGGAGACACTCTGTGTAAGATAAGATGCTGGGTTCAGAAAATATAAACAGAGAGAGAATTTCCTAGAAGGGATTTCTTCATTATTTATGACAAGATTCAGTTTATTGCTGAGAATACCATTCTTTTTTAGGAAATTTTAGTTTGAATGAATGAATAATGTCTAGTTGTTATATAATGAGTTATTTTGCTCCGTATTTTCACAGCAGTGTTTGAAAGCGAATTTTATATTAGTTATGGGCAGAGACTATGAACCAATTTATAAAGTGCAGCATTAGTCTAATAACACATTAAGGGACAGTAGTAGGAGGCAAATAATTGGTACAAGTCTTTATCATGGTACTGGACAGTAGGGGAGAGTTTGGCTAGTAAAGAGATGACAACTGTGTCCCTGGATGTAATTTTTCCATAGTTACTCCTTGATGTTGCTTATACTTGTTTGAAAATTAGTTAACGTATGACAGTAATATGGGCATGGGGGTATGGGGTGTAGGATGAGACATTTAATCAGATGCAGAGAAACAGATCCTAGGGGTTTTTTTTTTTCCCAAGTGTCTGATGTCTTTTGGCCCGATCTGAAAGTAGATTCCCAGAACAACATGGCTAGGTCATATCCAAGACCATTGGAAAGGGTGGCGTGAGAGCTCCTGGGCATGGTGTAGAACCATGGTGAGCACTAGCCACCATGGCCAGGCAGGCCTAGAAGGTGCCATGGTCAAGTGTCTTGCTGCACTGAACAAGTGGCCCCTTTTGCAAAACTTAGCAAAAGTTCAGTTAAGACTCATGTGTTCATCACTCCTGGATTCCATCTGTCAACCTCCACTATTAGTTCATAGTCCACCATAATTAGTGAACTAATATGACAACATTATTTATATCAAGGTTGCATTTGTAGACTTAGGAAGTTGAACCAGATCAAATTGCTGCTGTGCAGTCATTTTTGACCTACAAAAATGACAGTTAACCTATGTTTCAAGCTGTTAGTTCCCTAGTCAGTTCTTTGAAATTTAGGTATGATGTTCCCCATGTAAATATGTCATACATAATAAGGCAGCCTTCAGGCAAGTTCACAGGAGCATATTAACCCATGGTGTAGCAGAAATATTGTATAGTTATGTTGTAAAATATTAGAAGACAAACTGTTGCAATGCCAGCAGTTTAATGAAAACAAACAAAAAGAAGACAATGTAATAAAACCCAGCTTTGGTTGTGTTTTATTGTCAGTGCTTGAGGAAAAGCAGATTCTAATGAAAGAGTGAGGAAGTGCATGGAACTGGTAAAAGGAACTTAACTCTGAAGACCTTCAAAAGTTGTTAATCCTGGCTCATTGGTCTATATTGTCTTGGCTTCACCAACATCCACCTGCTCTCTAACTCTGTGCCTTCTGGGTTCCATTCCCATGCGTGTATGCTAAGTTGCTTCAGTCATGTCTGACTCTTTGCAACCCCATGGGCTGTAGCCCGCCAGGCTCCTCTGTCCATGGGATTCTCCAAGCAAGAATACTGGAGTGGGTTGCCATGCCCTACTCCAGGGGATCTTCCCGACCCAGGGATCAAACCTGTGTCCCTTACATTACATGTGTCTCCTGCATTGGCAGGCAGGTTCTTTACCACTAGTGCCACTTGGGAAGCCCTCCATTCCCATAACCCTGAAGAAACTGTTCCCTCAAAGGTCACTAGTGAATTGCTGGCTATCAAGGTCACAGTGTCTTGGTCCTCAACTTCCTGAATCTTTTTGACCCTTTTGACAGTGTAGGGCTCTCTGCTCCCCACATTTTGACATTCTCCCTTTTTGACTTTTCTATGATATGACCCTATCATTTTACTCATCCCCTTTCCCTAACTTTTTTTTTTTTTGGCCACCCTGTGCAGCATACAGGATCTTACTTCCCAGCAACCAGGGGTTGAATTTGTGCCCCCTGCATTGGAAACATGGAGTCTTAACCACTGGACCGCCAGGGAAGTCCCTCTAACTGTTCTTAAAGAATCCAGAG